GGCATCAAGTTTGTGAATCTTTCTGATGCAACAATAGAAAACTAACAGGGCCTCTGGATTGTTCCCAGAATTTGTCGACTTTTAATTTGCATCTCTGCCTGGACCCTGGGGGCAGGCACGTTCTCCTTCCAGTTTCTGTGGATGGACTTCTGACACATTCAGGGCTGACCATTSAAATCAGAAACCTGACCTGCCAAACTGCCCTCCCGAGGCCAGGCTCGGATGGGTGCTGCCCGGTGTCCCCAGGCCTGCCCCGGGCTGGAGATCAGCTACCTTTTTAAAACATTTTATTGTGATAAAATACGTGTCACTTGCAGGGAAATGGATGGCACTAGAGCAGATTATGCTCAGTGAAGCTAGCCAATCCCTAAAAAACAAATGCCAAATGTCATCTTTGATATAAGGAGAGCAACTAAGAACAGARYAGRGAGGAAGAGCATGAGAAGAAGATYAMCAYTAAACAGGGATGAGAGGKGGGAGGGAAAGGGAGAGAGAAGGGAAATTGCATGGAAATGGAAGGAGACCCTCATGGCTATACAAAATTACATACAAGAGGAAGTGAGGGGAAAGGGGGAAAAAACAAGGAGAGAAATGAGTTTCAGTCGAGGGGGTAGAGAGAGAAGATGGAGGGGAGGGGAGGGGGGATAGTAGAGGACAGGAAAGGCAGCAGAACACAACAGACACGAGTATGGCAGTAGGTAAAAAAGTGGATGTGGAACCGGTGTGAATCTGCAATCTGTATACGGGGTAAAAATGGGAGTTCATAACCCACTTGAATCACATGTCGAGAGCTTTGTCATGTTTTGAACAACTGATAATAATAAATACATAAATAAACTAAAATACAAGTCACACAAATTTGCCCTTTGACCATCTGGGGTGGGTGTGAGTGGCATTTGGTCCAGGCACAACCCTGAGCAGCCACCACCAATTTCTGGTTCCAGAACTTTCCCTTCATCCCCAAGGAAGCCTGGTGCCGCCAGCCGTCCCCCCACTGGCCGCCCTGGCCCTGGCAGTCATAGCCGCCGTCTGTTGCTGGTCACCGTCATTTGACTCCCTGCTGGTGGACGGGCTGGGTATCCGGAGGACAGCACTCAGCCCCGGCTCCGGGACGCCTGCTCCCCTGGTGGGACTCGTGCCCATTGCCCCCCAAGTCCCATTGTCACCCCGATCTTTCTGGCTTGAGACCTGCATGTGTCCTGCCCCCTTCCCTGTCTCTGCCTCCCCTGCAGAGTGGAGGCCTGCCCTGCCCTGCCCTGTGCTGGCCTCCCAGGGCCTCTAGGTCTGGCAAGTCGGGAAGGGGGTGCCCAGGAGAGAGTKGGGGGACGTGGGGACTGCGGCCCAGGGAGGGGCAAGTGCTTCTGAGGCTGGCAGCTGCCGTGGCCGGGTGTTCCCCAGGAAATCCCAGGTGGGGTATCTATGGGAGGTGAGTGGCATCTCATCCCGTAAGTTCCCTTGTTCTGCCAACGCAGAGGAGCGGGTGTGGGGAGCAGGGCCCCCGCCCCACGCTGGCCGCTTTGCTGGGGAAACAAGGTGCGTGGGAGGCAGCCGGGCTCCAGGTGGCTGCAGGAGACCTGTGCACCCAGCTGTCTCCAGGCCTCTCCCTCCTGCCAGGCCCTTGGCAGAGTCCAGAACATTCCCTCCAGCCGCCCGGGTCCCTGTGACTGTTTCCGTGGCACCAGGAGCCTCTGAGCGAGCTCGGGGTTGTCCTCCTGGGCCCCACGAAGCCCCTTCCAGCTGAACACCCCACCCGTGGGATGGAGGCGCCCTGGGCCTGGGGCCAGCCTGGACTGATGAGCTCCCTGAGCAGTTGCTGGGGGAGGCCCTGACCGTCCAGCCGGGGCGCTGGGGGCTGGGCAGCCGCTGGAAGAGAGGGAGAGGGAGAAAGAACCCCCACCACAAAGCCCGGTCTTGGGGACGGCTGGCCACACCTGCTGTCGGGGCGGACCTGGTGCCAGGGGAGTGAGTGTCGCAGGGAGCCCTGGCYGCAGGCTCATGGCCCTCACGAGGACAGCACCCCATGTCCCTCAGCTTGTTCTTCCGTGGCACTTATTGCCACTTGCTTATTCACTTCCTGTCTTTCCTGTCTTTTCCTCTGGGAGAGCAGGAGTTTTGTTCGCTGTATCTCCCCAGCTCCCAGACCAGCTGCAGGCCTGGGGTAGGTCCTCAAACCTCCGGGCAGGTGGTGCACGTCTGTGATCCCAGCATTGTGGGAGGCTGAGACAGGAGGATCACTCACGAGTTAGAGGCCAGCCTCAGCAATTTAGCAAGTCCTTTCTCTAAATGAAAAAAAAAAAAAAAGAAAAAGGGCTGGGGATGTGGCTCAGTGGTAAAGTGCCCCTGRGTTCAGTCCAGGCATGGAGTAGGTACTCAGTTAAACCATGGAGTGCATCTCTATGCCAAGAAATAGCTTAGCGTTTGCAAAACAAAACAGATCAGGATGCACWCCTTCCCGCCATCTTCCTCACTGGTGTGTCTGGGAAGCCCCAGCACCACCACCAGGGGGTCTCAGCCCTGGCAGTCTCACCCCCTGGGAGCCCTGGGCAATGTTTGGACACATTTGAGACAGTCACACCTAGGGCTGAGGGGCTGCTGGCCTCTGGGAGGGAGAGGTCAGGGATGCTGCTGGCCGGCCTACAGAGCTGAGGATGCCCCCAGAGTGTCCAAGTTCATGTGCCAACGTCGAGAAAACCCGACAGACACGGCATCCTCTGTGCCGGCTCCTCACCCTGCTTCACAGCAAGTTCAGATCCTGGCTCTGCCACTTCCAGTCCTGAGGGTTTTACCCTCCAGAGCCTCACGTGCTCCATCTGTGAAATCAGCCAACGATGGCGCCCGGCCCAAGAGTCACTCCTGTCAAGCCCCTGGGAGCTGAGCCATCGGTGGCCCTGGGCTCCTGCCAAGGATGCAGTCTGTGTGGAGAGCCGAGCCCAGCCTCACCTGGGGAAGCGCAGGGTCCGCCGCAAGGGCAGCCCGGGGCTCTACGGCTCACTCCCCACGTTTCAAAAGTGATTCCAGCACCAGGCCTGGGGTCAGCCAGGAGGGAGGGGAGGGAGAGCAGCCCTGATGGAGGCCAAGCCTGGAGCTGGCCTGGACGCGGCCCCAGGGAGGCTTTTAAGCCCGGACCATTATCCTGGAGTGGCACGGTCAGGGGCTTCCTTTTATTTATCTCTCTGTCTATCTATTTATTTATTTGTAGTTGTAAGTGGGCAAAATGCCTTTACTTGTTTATTTGTTTATGTGGTGCTGAGGATCAGACCCAGTGCCTTGCACACACCGAGCTGTAGCCCTGACCCCAGTCAGGAGTTTTCTACCATCTCCAAGAAGAAGGGGCGCAGTTAGGGAGAGACCAAATTTTGTTTTGGCACATGTAAAGCAAAATCCTCCCGTGGACTCAGCAGTTGGAAGGAAATGCGGAGACAGGTAGTGGAAGGAGGGGGGCAGCTGCTGGCCATGCGCCAGGCCCCGCCCCACGCCAGGCCCCGCCCCACGCCAGGCCCCGCCCCACGCCAGGCCCCGCCCCACGCCAGGCCCCGCCCCACGCCAGGCCCNCGCCAGGCCCCGCCCCACGCCAGGCCCCGCCCCACGCCAGGCCCCGCCCCACGCCAGGCCCCGCCCCACGCCAGGCCCCGCCCCACGCCAGGCCCCGCCCCACGCGGCCCAGGCTCCTGCCCTGGTGCGGGGAGGTTCGTTTTCCTTGCTGGCTGAGGTTGGATGGTTTCCTTCTGTGCGGACAGGCCCGGTGTCCACCCCCCCACCGGGTCTGGGTCACTGGGGTCACAGGCAGTGTGCAGTAAATCAGTGCTCCTCCCACTTTTGCCACCAAGTAGTGGCAGTGTGACAGTGCCGGGGAGGGAGTGTGGGGACAGCTTCGGGGGTGTTCTGCGTGGGCTTTGTAACATCAAACCTGGGGAACATGGGATGGGTGGTCCGGGTTCTCCAAGGCCAAGCTGGCAGTCTTACCTGTTCCTTCAGTGAAAGTAGAAAGAGTGTTCAATGAGYCCATGAAGGGTGGCCAGGGACGGCAGGCGGAAGGGCCAGGTCTGCGGACCTGTTTGTGCTCTGTGTCCCCCTGGGCAGGCGGCAGCAGGACCCATGTCTCAGGGGTGCCCAGCAGCCAGGACCCATGCCGCGATTTCTTTTCTTTTTTTTTTAAAGAGAGAGTGAGAGAGGGAAGGGAGAGASAGAGAGAATTTTTAATATTTATTTTTTAGTTCCCGGCGGACACAACATCTTTGTTGGTATGTGGTGCTGAGGATCAAACCCGGGCCACACGCATGCCAGGCGAGCGCGCTACCGCTTGAGCCACATCCCCAGCCCTCCATGCCGCAATTTCAGAGTGCTCTGGGGGCCCCTGGGAGCCCAGGCCAGGAAGGACAAGGTGGCTGGTCAATTATTCACGACTCACCCTTTWCCCCAGGTTTTTAAAAAGTGAATGCCAGCGGCCATGGGCCCTGTGTCCTCGGGTTTCACTCTGTGTCAGCAGCTGGGCCCCAGATTCAGTTTCTGATCCCACCCCAGGGATGACCTCGTGGCCCCTTTGCCTTCTGGATGCCAGGTGTCCACACTGCCCCGTGGGGCCACAGAGGGGGGCCTTTGCACGTTGCCACTGCCCTGTCCCACCGCAGCCTCCTGGTTCTTCCTGGGGAGCGCCCACTCTGGGCGCTGGTGAAGATTCCTCCCTCCAGACCCCGGGCTCCTCGTGGCAGGGAGGCCTGGGCCCGCTGTCCCTAGMACCCAGCACACAGTAGGGCTCATCCACTGTGGTTGAACCTGACAGCGGCTCTCAATAAGACCCAGAGGATGCCGAGGCCYCATGACTCCAGGCATTGAGCTGCTGGCTCTCTCTGGTCATCTCAGGCTTCAAGTGTTCCAAAGTCCCATTGGCACTGGGGCCAGCAGGMGGAGGACAAGCCCTTGGGGGCAGGGCACCGAGTCCACGCTGTCCCTGCTTAGATTTCCCCTCCCGTGTCTGGGGAAAGACTTACCATCATTTTCACTTTGGATCGAGGGCAGGGAACACAGTGCAGCGTGCAGCGGACCCGGCCACGGTGACCACAACCATGTCCCCATCAGGTCAGGAGGAGCGTTGGCAGCCCCCTCTGCTCTCCGTGCCCAAGTCAGCTCCTGACAGGGCAGGACAGGCCAGCTGCCCGTCTTCCCCTGCAGCCACTTGCTCTGCATCTGGCCGTGTCCTGTGTCAGCAGCTCTGTCACACACAGGTGTCAGTCCTTCTGCATGGCTTCCGCTCTCTTGGGAGATCCCACTTGGGCCCCCTTTCTACCGCGGATGGGCACTGAGCAGCTCTCCAGGTGGAGCGACTGTGAGGGGCTGCTGAGAACATTCTCTCATGAAGGTGCACTCTCCTGTGGGTGGATGCGAGGAGTGGGGGAGCTAGGGTGTGGTGACTCTGTGTCCAGCTTCAGTGGACACCTGAAATCATTAGCAAGTGTTTACCTAATGCACACCTTTCCCAAGTCAGGGTGCTCTGGCGTGGGCACACAGTCCTGTAATCCCAGCAGCTTGGGAGGAGAAGCAGGAGGATCACAAGTTGGAGGCCAGCCTCAGCKACTCAGTGAAACCCTGTGTCAAAATAAAAATAAATAGGAAGAGCTGGGGGTGCGGCTCAGTGGTGAGCACCCCCTGGGCTGAGTCCCCAGTGCTGGGGGCCAGGTGGTGGCCACAGCTGCAGCTGGCCTGGCCTTGTGGGTGGCCATCTCCCAGCGCCGTCACCAGGGCCCTGTGTGCAGAAGGGTCCGTGCTTGGGACCGAACGCTGCAGCTGCTTAAAGTTGCTGGTGGCTTAACTGTGGGACAACGGGCATGTCCCTGTACTCCCACCCATAGCCCACGGTGGGATGCTGGCCATTCCCTGGGGTTGGCACAAAGGGCCTGAGATGAGGTGGCATGAAGGGGGGGCACAGCATCCTGAAGGGGCCGAGGGGGTCTCCTGCAGCTGGGAGCCCAAATCGAGGAGCAGTGGTTTCGGAGAGCRACGAGGTCGCCATTCATAATGCGCGAGAGGTCGCCGGGGCCCCTGGTGGACACGGGGCCTTTGTCCCTGAGGACTGTGGACTCTCTCCTCGCAGTCCTCTGGGGGCGGAAGGAAGTGGTAAAGACAGAGCTCACCCCGGCCACCCAGCTCCCTGTGGAGGCTCTCTGTGTCACCTGCAGCTCTGAATGTCCCCAGAATTCCCCGGGGCGAGTCAGACTTCCAGGGGCCAAAGAGATAAGGCTTGATGCCAAGGGCTTTAGGAAATGTCCATGGTGTGTGTGTGGGTGGGGGCAGAGAGAGAGAGA